CATGCGGCACCCTGGCTGTGTCTGTCCATAACTTGTTTCATATGTTCACATGGACATGCGGCACGGTTGCTGTGTCTGTCTATAACTTATTCCATGTGTTCACATGGACATGCGGCACCCTTGCTGTGTCTGTCCATAACTTGTTCCATATGTTCACATGGACATGCGGCACCCTTGCTATGTCTGTCCATATCTTGTTACTTGTGTTCACATGGACATGCGGCACCCTGGCTGTGTCTGTCTATAACTTGTTCCGTGTGTTTACATCGACATGCGGCAACCTTGCTGTGTCTGTCTATAACTTGTTCCATCTGTTCACATGGACATGCGGCACCCTGGCTGTGTCTGTCCATAACTTGTTCCGTGTGTTCACATGGACATGCAGCACTCTGGTTGTGTCTGTTTATAACTTGTTCCGTATGTTCATATCGACGTGCGGCACCCTTGCTGTGTCTGTCCATAACTTGTTCCATATGTTCACATAGATGCAGCACTCTGGCTGTGTCTTTCCATAACTTGTTCCATATGTTCACATGGACATGCGGCACTCTTGCTGTGTCTGTCCATAACTTGTTCCATATGTTCACATGGACATGCGGCACACTTGCTGTGTCTGTCCATAACTTGTTCCATATGTTCACATGGATATGCGGCACCCTTTTGCTGTGTCTGTCCATATCTTGTTACGTGTGTCCACATGGACATGCGGCACCCTGGCTGTGTCTGTCTATAACTTGTTCCGTGTATTTACATGGACATGCGGCACCCTGGCTGTGTCTGTCTCTAACTTGTTCCATATGTTCACATGGACATGCGGCACCCTGTCTCTGCATGTCTTTAACTTGTTCCGTGTGTTCATATGGACATGCTGCACCCTGGCTGTGTCTGTCCATTAATTATCCATCTGTTCACATGGACATGCGGCACCCTTGCTGTGTCTGTCTATAACTTGTTCAATATGTTCAGATGGACATGCGGCACCCTGGCTGTGTCTGTCCATAACTTGTTCAATATGTTCACATAGACATGCGGCACCCTGGCTGTGTCTGTCCATAACTTGTTCAATATGTTCACATGGACATGCGGCACCCTGGCTGTGTCTGTCCATAACTTGTTCAATATGTTCACATAGACATGCGGCACCCTCGCTGTGTCTGTCCATAACTTGTTCCATATGTTCACATGGACATGCGGCACCCTTGCTGTGTCTGTCCATAACTTGTTCCATATGTTCACATGGACATGCGGCACCCTGGCTGTGTCTGTCTATAACTTGTTTTATATGTTCACATGGACATACGGCACTCTTGCTGTGTCGGTCTATAACTTGTTCTATATGTTCACATGGACATGGGGCACCCTGGCCGTGTATGTCCATAACTTGTTCCTTGTGTTTACATGGACATACGGCACTCTTGCTGTGTCTGTCTATAACTTGTACCATATGTTTACATGGACATACGGCACCCTGGCTGTGTCTGTCTATAACTTGTTCTATATGTTCACATGGACATGGGGCACTCTTGCTGTGTATGTCCATAACTTGTTCCATATGTTCACATGGACATGCGGCACCCTTGCTGTGTCTGTCCATAACTTGTTCCGTGTGTTCACATGGACATGCGGCACCCTGGCTGTGTCTGTCCATAACTTGTTCCGTGTGTTCACATGGACATGCGGCACCCTGGCTGTGTCTGTCCATAACTTGTTCCATATGTTCACATGGACATGCGGCACCCTGGCTGTGTCTGTCCATAACTTGTTCCGTGTGTTCACATGGACATGCGGCACCGTTGCTGTGTCTGTCTATAACTTGTTCTATATGTTCACATGGACATGCGGCACCCTTGCTGTGTCTGTCCATAACTTGTTCCATATGTTCATATGGACATGCGGCACCCTTGCTGTGTCTGTCCATAACTTGTTCAATATGTTCACATGGACATGCGGTACCCTTGCTATGTCTGTCCATATCTTGTTACGTGTGTTCACATGGACATGCGGCACCCTGGCTGTGTCTGTCTATAACTTGTTCCGTGTGTTTACATCGACATGCGGCAACCTTGCTGTGTCTGTCTATAACTTGTTCCATCTGTTCACATGGACATGCGGCACCCTGGCTGTGTCTGTCCATAACTTGTTCCGTGTGTTCACATGGACATGCAGCACTCTGGTTGTGTCTGTCCATAACTTGTTCCGTGTGTTCACATGGACATGCAGCACTCTGGTTGTGTCTCTTTATAACTTGTTCCGTATGTTGATATCGACGTGCGGCACCCTTGCTGTGTATGTCCATAACTTGTTCCATCTGTTCACATGGACATGCGGCACTCTGGCTGTGTCTGTCCATATCTTGTTACGAGTGTTCACATGGACATGCGGTACGCTTGCTGTGTCTGTCCATAACTTGTTCTATATGTTCACATAGATGCAGCACTCTTGCTGTGTCTTTCCATAACTTGTTCCATATGTTCACATGGACATGCGGCACTCTTGCTGTGTCTGTCCATAACTTGTTCCATATGTTCACATGGACATGCGGCACTCTTGCTGTGTCTGTCCATAACTTGTTCCATATGTTCACATGGACATGCGGCACCCTAGCTGTGTCTGTCCATAACTTGTTCCATATGTTCACATGGACATGCGGCACCCTTGCTGTGTCTGTCCATAACTTGTTCCATATGTTCACATGGATATGCGGCACCCTTTTGCTGTGTCTGTCCATATCTTGTTACGTGTGTCCACATGGACATGCGGCACCCTGGCTGTGTCTGTCTATAACTTGTTCCGTGTATTTACATGGACATGCGGCACCCTGGCTGTGTCTGTCTCTAACTTGTTCCATATGTTCACATGGACATGCGGCACCCTGTCTCTGCATGTCTTTAACTTGTTCCGTGTGTTCATATGGACATGCTGCACCCTGGCTGTGTCTGTCCATTAATTATCCATCTGTTCACATGGACATGCGGCACCCTTGCTGTGTCTGTCTATAACTTGTTCAATATGTTCAGATGGACATGCGGCACCCTGGCTGTGTCTGTCCATAACTTGTTCAATATGTTCACATAGACATGCGGCACCCTGGCTGTGTCTGTCCATAACTTGTTCAATATGTTCACATGGACATGCGGCACCCTGGCTGTGTCTGTCCATAACTTGTTCAATATGTTCACATAGACATGCGGCACCCTCGCTGTGTCTGTCCATAACTTGTTCCATATGTTCACATGGACATGCGGCACCCTTGCTGTGTCTGTCCATAACTTGTTCCATATGTTCACATGGACATGCGGCACCCTGGCTGTGTCTGTCTATAACTTGTTTTATATGTTCACATGGACATACGGCACTCTTGCTGTGTCGGTCTATAACTTGTTCTATATGTTCACATGGACATGGGGCACCCTGGCCGTGTATGTCCATAACTTGTTCCTTGTGTTTACATGGACATACGGCACTCTTGCTGTGTCTGTCTATAACTTGTACCATATGTTTACATGGACATACGGCACCCTGGCTGTGTCTGTCTATAACTTGTTCTATATGTTCACATGGACATGGGGCACTCTTGCTGTGTATGTCCATAACTTGTTCCATATGTTCACATGGACATGCGGCACCCTTGCTGTGTCTGTCCATAACTTGTTCCATATGTTCACATGGATATGCGGCACCCTTTTGCTGTGTCTGTCCATATCTTGTTACGTGTGTCCACATGGACATGCGGCACCCTGGCTGTGTCTGTCTATAACTTGTTCCGTGTATTTACATGGACATGCGGCACCCTGGCTGTGTCTGTCTCTAACTTGTTCCATATGTTCACATGGACATGCGGCACCCTGTCTCTGCATGTCTTTAACTTGTTCCGTGTGTTCATATGGACATGCTGCACCCTGGCTGTGTCTGTCCATTAATTATCCATCTGTTCACATGGACATGCGGCACCCTTGCTGTGTCTGTCTATAACTTGTTCAATATGTTCAGATGGACATGCGGCACCCTGGCTGTGTCTGTCCATAACTTGTTCAATATGTTCACATAGACATGCGGCACCCTGGCTGTGTCTGTCCATAACTTGTTCAATATGTTCACATGGACATGCGGCACCCTGGCTGTGTCTGTCCATAACTTGTTCAATATGTTCACATAGACATGCGGCACCCTCGCTGTGTCTGTCCATAACTTGTTCCATATGTTCACATGGACATGCGGCACCCTTGCTGTGTCTGTCCATAACTTGTTCCATATGTTCACATGGACATGCGGCACCCTGGCTGTGTCTGTCTATAACTTGTTTTATATGTTCACATGGACATACGGCACTCTTGCTGTGTCGGTCTATAACTTGTTCTATATGTTCACATGGACATGGGGCACCCTGGCCGTGTATGTCCATAACTTGTTCCTTGTGTTTACATGGACATACGGCACTCTTGCTGTGTCTGTCTATAACTTGTACCATATGTTTACATGGACATACGGCACCCTGGCTGTGTCTGTCTATAACTTGTTCTATATGTTCACATGGACATGGGGCACTCTTGCTGTGTATGTCCATAACTTGTTCCATATGTTCACATGGACATGCGGCACCCTTGCTGTGTCTGTCTATAACTTGTTCCGTGTGTTCACATGGACATGCGGCACCCTGGCTGTGTCTGTCCATAACTTGTTCCGTGTGTTCACATGGACATGCGGCACCCTGGCTGTGTCTGTCCATAACTTGTTCCATATGTTCACATGGACATGCGGCACCCTGGCTGTGTCTGTCCATAACTTGTTCCGTGTGTTCACATGGACATGCGGCACCGTTGCTGTGTCTGTCTATAACTTGTTCTATATGTTCACATGGACATGCGGCACCCTGGCTGTGTCTGGCCATAACTTGTAGGACATGTTCATATTGACATTGAAAGCCCTTTTGTGTCCGTCCAAAGCTTGTAGGACATGTTCACATAGACACTGAAGGCCCCTGTTGTGTCCGTCCATAGCTTTTAGGACATGTTCACATAGACATTGAAGGCTCTTGTTCTGCCTATCCATAGCTTGTAGGACATGTTCACATAGACACTGGAGGCCCCTGTTGTGTCTGTCCATAGCTTATAGGACATGTTCACATAGACACTGGAGGCCCCTGTTGTGTCCGCCCATAGCTTGTAGGACATGTTCACATAGACATTGATGGCCCTTGTTGTGTCCGCCCATCGCTTGTAGGACATGTTCACGTAGACACTGGGGGCCCTTGTTGTGTCCGCCCATAGCTTGTAGGACATGTTCACATAGACATTGGAGGCCCTTGTTGTGTCCGCCCATCGCTTGTAGGACATGTTCACATTGACACTGGAGGCCCTTGTTCTGTCCGTCCATAGCTTGTAGGACATGTTCACATAGACATTGAAGGCCCTTGTTGTGTCCGCCCATCGCTTGTAGGACATGTTCACGTAGACACTGGAGGCCCTTGTTGTGTCCGCCCATAGCTTGTAGGACATGTTCACATAGACATTGAAGGCCCTTGTTGTGTCCGCCCATCGCTTGTAGGACATGTTCACGTAGACACTGGAGGCCCTTTTGTGTCCGTCCATAGCTTGTAGGACATGTTCACATAGACATTTAAGGCCCTTGTTGTGTCCGCCCATCGCTTGTAGGACATGTTCACGTAGACACTGGAGGCCCTTGTTGTGTCCGCCCTTAGCTTGTAGGACATGTTCACATAGACACTGGAGTCCCTTTTTGTGTCCGCCCATAGCTTGTAGGACATGTTCACATAGACATTGAAGGCCCTTGTTGTGTCCGCCCAAAGCTTGTAGGACATGTTCACATAGACACTGGAGGCCCTTTTTGTGTCCGCCCATAGCTTGTAGGACATGTTCACATAGACATTGACGACCCCTGTAGTGTCCGCCCAAAGCTTGTAGGACATGTTCACATAGACACTGGAGGCCCCTGTTGTTTCCGTCCATAGCTTGTAGGACATGTTCATATAGACACTGAAGGCCCCTGTTGTGTCTGTCCATAGCTTGTAGGACATGTTTATATAGACATTGAACGACCTTGTTGTATGGGTCCATAGCTTGTAGGACATGTTCCTATAGACATTGAAGACCCTTGTTGTGTCTCTCCTTAGCTTGTAAGACATGTTCATATAGACATTAAAGGCCCTTGTTGTGTCTGTCCATAGCTTGTAGAACATGTTTATATAGACATTGAAGACCCTTGTTGTGTCTGTCCATAGCTTGTAGGACATGTTCATATAGACATTGACGGCCCTTTTTTTGTCCGTCCATAGCTTGTAGGACATGTTCATATAGACATTGAAGGCCCTTTTTTTGTCCGTCCATAGCTTGTAGGACATGTTTATATAGACATTGAAGACCCTTGTTGTATCTGTCCATAGCTTGTAGGACATGTTTATATAGACATTGAACGACCTTGTTGTATGGGTCCATAGCTTGTAGGACATGTTCCTATAGACATTGAAGACCCTTGTTGTGTCTCTCCTTAGCTTGTAAGACATGTTCATATAGACATTAAAGGCCCTTGTTGTGTCTGTCCATAGCTTGTAGAACATGTTCATATAGACTTTGAATGCCCTTGTTCTGTCCGTCCATAGCTTGTAGGACATGTTCACATAGACACTGGAGACCCATTTTGTATCTGTCAATAGCTTGTAGGACATGTTCACATAGACATTGAAGGCTCTTGTTCTGCCTGTCCATAGCTTGTAGGACATGTTCACATAGACACTGGAGGCCCCTGTTGTGTCCGTCCATAGCTTATAGGACATGTTCACATAGACATTGAAGGCTCTTGTTCTGCCTATCCATAGCTTGTAGGACATGTTCACATATACACTGGAGGCCCCTGTTGTGTCTATCCATAGCTTATAGGACATGTTCACATAGACACTGGAGGCCCCTTGTTGTGTCCGCCCATAGCTTGTAGGACATGTTCACATAGACATTGAAGGCCCTTGTTGTGTCTGTCCATAGCTTGTAGGACATGTTCACATAGACATTGAAGGCCCTTGTTGTGTCCGCCCATCGCTTGTAGGACATGTTCACATAGACACTGGAGGCCCTTGTTGTGTCCGCCCATCGCTTGTAGGACATGTTCACGTAGACACTGGAGGCCCTTTTTGTGTCCGTCCATAGCTTGTAGGACATGTTCACATAGACATTGAAGGCCCTTGTTGTGTCCGCCCATCGCTTGTAGGACATGTTCACGTAGACACTGGAGGCCCTTGTTGTGTCCGCCCATAGCTTGTAGGACATGTTCACATAGACACTGGAGGCCCTTTTTGTGTCCGTCCATAGCTTGTAGGACATGTTCACATAGACATTGAAGGCCCTTGTTGTGTCCGCCCATCGCTTGTAGGACATGTTCACGTAGACACTGGAGGCCCTTTTTGTGTCCGCCCATAGCTTGTAGGACATGTTCACATAGACATTGAAGGCCCTTGTTGTGTCCGCCCATAGCTTGTAGGACATGTTCACATAGACACTGGAGGCCCTTTTTGTGTCCGCCCATAGCTTGTAGGACATGTTCACATAGACATTGACGACCCCTGTTGTGTCCGCCCAAAGCTTGTAGGACATGTTCACGTAGACACTGGAGGCCCCTGTTGTGTCCGTCCATAGCTTGTAGGACATGTTCATATAGACACTGAAGGCCCCTGTTGTGTCTGTCCATAGCTTGTAGGACATGTTTATATAGACATTGAACGACCTTGTTGTATGGGTCCATAGCTTGTAGGACATGTTCCTATAGACATTGAAGACCCTTGTTGTGTCCCTCCTTAGCTTGTAAGACATGTTCATATAGACATTAAAGGCCCTTGTTGTGTCTGCCCATAGCTTGTAGAACATGTTTATATAGACATTGAAGACCCTTGTTGTGTCTGTCCATAGCTTGTAGGACATGTTCATATAGACATTGACGGCCCTTTTTTTGTCCGTCCATAGCTTGTAGGACATGTTCATATAGACATTGAAGGCCCTTTTTTTGTCCGTCCATAGCTTGTAGGACATGTTTATATAGACATTGAAGACCCTTGTTGTATCTGTCCATAGCTTGTAGGACATGTTTATATAGACATTGAACGACCTTGTTGTATGGGTCAATAGCTTGTAGGACATGTTCCTATAGACATTGAAGACCCTTGTTGTGTCTCTCCTTAGCTTGTAAGACATGTTCATATAGACATTAAAGGCCCTTGTTGTGTCTGTCCATAGCTTGTAGAACATGTTTATATAGACATTGAAGACCGTTGTTGTGTCTGTCCATAGCTTGTAGGACATGTTCATATAGACATTGAAGGCCCCTGTTGTGTCCGTCCGGAGCTTGTAGGACATGTTCATACAGACTTTAAAGTGCCCTTGTTGTTGTCACACCGTGTGCTATTTTATCATTACTTTGGGGATGTATTTTGGTAGGGGTAGATGTCATCCTTAATACTGATACAGGGCGCCCAAACACACCATTTTGACATGTGAAAACATGCGTTTTGTCTCTGACTTGATTATATAAAGCCATGTCTTAGCAGTGTTAAGATACAGTTGATCGTTCACTCGCGTGAGACCTGGCCAGGAGAAAGGCTTTTGTGAGTATGATATTGTGTTATTTCAAGGATAAATGTGTGGAATAGTTACTTCGTGTTTAATTATAAATAAAGATTGCTTTGCCAAAAGGATTGCCCATCATGGAAATATAGCTTGTTATACATGTTATTGTCAATGTTCTTAACTTCTCGTATTGAAAATACATGATAGTTGTCACCTAGTAGTTTGTCATGTTTTCAGGCCTTATTGTGATTGCTCCTACTTGCGATCCCTAAATTGGTACATCCATCACCGACCTTTGAACAGGACACCTGATGTTGTGATCTATGCTGACTTAACCGGATGTGAATATTGTTGACTCTAATAAATGTTATCAACCTAAAGTATTTTTCTTTTTCGTTTGTAATGTGTGCTGTATATCCTTAGTTCTACTTTTGATTTGTGACAGTTGTGTCCGTCCATAGCCTGACGGACATGTTAATATAGACATTGAAGGCCCTTGTTATGTCCGTCCATAGCTTCTAGGACATGTTCATATAGACACTGAAGGACCTTGTTGTATCTGTCCATAGCTTGTAGCACATGTTCATATATACATTGAAGGACATTCTTGTATATGTCCATAGCTTGTAGGACATGTTCATACAGACGATCTCCACTACTGATCCCATATAGTGACTTCAAACCAACTATAGAAGTTATACTCGGAATCTCATGCAAAAGAGGTTGGACACCCAAGCAATAAACTTCACGAATTAATTGGGTTGTCAGTCAAGACATGACGAGGTCGTTTTTCAAAGATGTCGTATTGGCCACAGAAGGTTTACCCACGAATATCTGCTTAAGACAGATTAGGACGAACCTCCTGAGTGTATCCCTTGTAATGAAAGATTCAACGTCAAGCATATATTGCTTGAGTGTTTAGACCTTGCAATCGCAAGGGATTCACATTATCAAAGCGTATATCTCATTCATATCCCTTTTTTCAAAATCAGATTCTAAACGGGTCGTCTTAGGCGCAGCTATTCTGACTGAGTTTGGTTTAACGCCACTTTTAACAGTATTCCAGTAGCACGGCGTGTCAGATTAATGTGGGAGGAAAGCCCGAAGAGATGCGGCTTTACCATTTCAATGAAACCCAAGAGCACAGGTGTGGTGCTGTCAAACCTAGAAACATAGTCGAGTCGAACCGGGATTCGAACTCACAATTATAGGTTTCTGGCGTGTACAAGGGCCGCAACTCTATGTACATAGACAGATGTGTAAAGATTGGTCCTCAAATGCTTTAATCAAATAAACATGCTGAATATTTTTTTAGAAAAAGGCTGGTTTACAACTTAATAGATGACGAAAGGTCGGAGATAAAAAACATAGGATAGACACGATTATTTTATGTGAACTGAAAAAAACAGGCGATGGCAGTTGAGTGAGTGAATTAAACTTAAACTTAAAATTAAAATAAACTTGTCAAGCAAATTTTATCATAGCATTATTATTAACAACTGTTTATAACATGGACTGAAAAACACCCACAACCAACAAAAAGCCGCATTCAACACATATTCCAGCTACATGACAGCAGTCTGTAAATAATCGAGTCTGGACCAGACAATTCAGTACTTGACACCATGAGCATCGATCTACGCAATTGGGATACGATGACTTGCATCAAACCAAGTCAGCGAGCCTGACCACCCGATCCCGTTAGTCGCCTCTTACGACAAGCACAGTCGCCATCACTATTATGAATACCACAAACAAGAGAACTGGATTCGAATATTCAGTGATAGAATCTTGGACTACCCAATCGGAAGGGCCAATAACCTTGCTTTCAAATATAATCATAGATGTTGGGGTTAACATCGAGAAGCTGTGACACTATTTGCGTTGAACTGTTCACACATCCTTATTGATGACGCCATAGTTATTGACCTGCCTGTACTTCCTTGCGTTCTCTATCAATGAAACACGGACATTATTTGTCA